GAGTGGTTTGGTAGCCGCTGAACCCAGGATCTGCTTAAGTCATAATAGAACCCTCCAAAGATTTGTGGGTTAGTGGCATAGCGCCAGATGCGGTCGAGGAACCGTAGCAGCCCTTTCGCTGGTCCATGTAAAGTGAGATACGACCGTAGTAGGTTCTGATGCGCCCGGAATTGGCTTGGAATAGTCGCACGCGGGATTTGTTGCGTAGGTGATACAGTCGATGGCGATATCGGTTATATCCATGGGAGGGGAGGCGTTGGTCCAGAGGCGGCGGCATTGCTGACATTTGTTGGGGCCGACGGATTCGATTTGTGGGAAGTATCTGGAAATCGAGTCCAAAGGTGTGGTCACCACAGATACCGTAGTCCGTCAGCTTATAAGTTTGGAGGGAGGCGGGTGTGGTAGGTCGATGATACGCATATTCTGTACCAGATGAGCCGCCAGCATAGAGGTAGTCCAAGTGCCACGTATTACGCAGAGTAGTCTCAATCGTTTTCATACATGGTCCGTGATTTGTATATGCGTGGCCATACTTTCAGGCTTTGAAGTTGAAATCTCCCCACACGACATTTGGTTGGAATCTGCCAATCTCGGGGGGATTCATGTATTGCCTGACGTCTTTTTCAGTAAGTGATTTGAGTGGAAAATAGAACACGGCCATATGAATGCCAAAGCGCACAAAAAACACCGCGTACGGGGAAGAGTGTTAGTATATGATAGCGTGTGTTCGAACGTATATGATTAAGAAATGTGGTGTTATGCCAGGTTTCAACCACACACATAACATCAACCTGACTTAAAATCGATAAAGCGTTCAAAAACTTATCTGTATGTGCTGCGGTGTCCATGTTGAGTCCTTGTGGGTTGAAGAGCGTCATCCTCATTGGTCCTAACATTGTTCATCATCGGTCAATACTACTGGGCTCTCTTCTTTAACGATGTCAGCCATTTCTATATCATTGCCTGTCGTCGAAGAGTCTGTCGTGGAAAGCTGAGGCTGCGTATTGCTATCCATCGTGTCGGATGATTGTGTTGGGGAGACCGTTGGTATATGAAGTCGTCCGGAATTCACACGCGCTGATTCTTTAGCGTTTGCCAGGATTCGCGGGTTAGGTGAGAATAAGTGTGCATCATGTTTTTCTTGGTATGCCTTTTGGAGACGATCCGCGGTAGATTGGAGGATGCCTGTATTAGTGGAGTTGACAAGTGGGCTCAGTAGTGCATCCATGCTGCGGGCAAGAATTTTTGGCGCTCGTTTATGTTTGCAGCGGGCCTCCCGCTTGGTGCGGAGATAGTGGATTAAAGCTGCTTTCGTAGCGTCGGGATGTTGTTGGGAGCAGGGGTCGATATTTTCATCAAGCTGCCATTTCCACGTAAGTGCTGCATGTCGTTTCACCTGGGCGACAGCGTCGCTAGGAACACAAAGGCGGATGAAACTGGCGGAGCTTCCGCGGCGATTTGACTGATATATCTATTTGGACGGAAGATACCAGAGAAAGTGGTGGCGATTAAGGACTGGTTGGGCATGCCAGTATTTCTCAAATACTGATCGGGATGGGGGCTTGCCGATAGGGAAAATTGCTCGGAAGAAGAGCCATACCGGAGTTATGTCATCCATTTCATGAAGAGTTTTGTCCGGCATCGGGCGGCCCACCACTTTCGTCAAAAGGTGTTCGGGTATAGGCAGCTAGCTATAAAGAGAGAGAACTGTCTTTCCGATTCCTGTGGTTGTAGAAATATCTGGGACCAGTTTCTTTCCTCCCTCGCCCGTGAGGCTAAGGGCCTATGAGGGTCTCGGGGTTTCTTATCTAAAAACTCTAGACCACTTTAATTCAAAATAAAACGCTGCTTTTATGCGATAAATTCAGTTTATTTTTAAAACATAGGCGATTCGGATGTGCTACTTTGGTTTAGGTACCGGTATAACATTCAGTGGATATTTCAGTTTCAACGTAAAAAAACTCCAAAATGTAAAGCAAAGACCTTTTTTTAGAAACAAATTCTTATGACTAGAGCAACTTTATAGCGCTCGAAAAGGAAACTACAAAATAGATTCTAAAATAGTAAATAAATACTAAATTAGACTCCCAAATTTCCAAATTTGAAACTTGAAATTCTTATTTAATTTTGTCCGGTATACCTAAAGTCGGCTTCTATTCAAGAGTACTCACTACTCAGTAGAATAGATTCCTTATTTCTTTTTCACGGATTTGTCTAAAAATTAGATTTTCCACTTTTAGTAGCGACTTTAACCAACCGAAAGCTATTTTAAGAAAATATATAAAATTAAAATTAGTACTCTTTTGACTCCCGGGTATTTATTTATTCTACGTGCGTTGAAAACCAATAGTTACTGTTGCGGGTGGGAATCTGCTGGATCGCTATTTTCTTTTAAAAAATATTTTACTTAAATCGCACGAGTCGGTACTCGGGAGTCGGGAGTCGGCACTTCGGCACGACCACCGTGCCACGACATAACGACAACGTTCGACAACACTCAGTCACTCAATGAACAGTTGAACACAGTGAAAAGTTCAAAACTGATATTTAACTGAAAACTCAACAGTCAACAGAGAATGGGCAAATTTGACGACTAGACACTACGTATCATATGTACATATGTTTTGTTAAAAAAAACATATACATGCATACAATCCCATACATACATAAACAACTGACACTAATTCACAATGTGTTTTTTTTATTAAAATTAAAAAAACAAAACAAATATATTTACTTATTTTGTATAATTGTTTTATAGATTTGAAAATAAAACTATTTTTAAATAAATAAATACATGCCGTAAACTACTAATCTAGATAAATAAATATTTACTTGTATAAAATATGACTGTTGCTCAGGTTATTATTTATTTACCTTTGAATTTTCCGTTCAAGAAAAGGCGATGTTTGTAGTGATGTCAATGTCATTAATAAGTCAGTCCATCAGTAAACTTTATAAATAAAAAACGTGTGTCACTTTGACATTATGTGACTCTGTGACTCTGTGCCTCCCAACACACAACTCACAGAGTCACAGAGTCACACTCTCTGACTCTCACAGTCTCACAGGTGTTTTTGTTTAAAAAACAAAAACAAAATTGATACATTCTCACAACTGCCTATAAACTAAATATTCATCTCCCAAGTCCTATGTAAATACCACGGCCTGTGCCTGAGGGTAGATCACTAGATCAGCCTGTGGAAGTTTGTGGCTGGATCCGGAGTAACGAACTTCCATCGCTATTTTCAATATTGACATACTAATACTATGCAGATCTGGTCTGGTATGCGACAACGCAACGGATTGAAATTGGTATCGTTTATACAAACGACGTATCGCATCGATTCAGTCGTTGTGGTATAAATATTGTTTGTGTTTGAAAACAACGAGTTGCATGTGTTGCGACCCATGTCGTTTACCAGATCAGAATTGTAGATACTAGGTTTTTCATTTTTAGTTGTTTATTGTTTGTGATGCTTTATTAAAATAAAACATAAACAAAAACATTTATGTAAATAGTGAAAGTGCCAAAGTGGAGTCGTGGTCTCGCGTAAAAACGTGGACCGGCCGATTATTATAAATGCAATCCCAGTCAAATCTAATATAAAATCAGATCTACAGTTTAGATAAAACAGCAATTCTACAAAAAAACAAAAGTCGACAGCCGACAGCCCGACAGATTATTGACCTCGCTCGATATTTATACGAGAAGAAATATCTGAAAATAAGAATGTTCTCCAGAATACTATTTTACCTTTGCGTCACCGGTTTGGCAGCCCACGGTAGCAAGGTTCCACTAGTAGATCAGCACGGTGATCGAACTGCAACGCCAATTGTGGGCGAGCCAAATATTAACGAGGCAGACATCACTAAAGACACGGAAACGCCACCGAATGTTACTGTTACTACTGGCGAATTCGGCGTCATCCAGGGACGGTACGCAAAACACACTCTCACCACGTGGGAGGTCAATCACTTGAAACGAACGACAAAGCATTATAACGACGTAAAAGCATCCAGCTGGCCATTCAACACTGGTCCATCGATTGACGAGTATGACGTCTCTATAGGGGACGAAGACGAATGTGTCGTAAGCATTGGTGGTACGGAAGGCAAGTCGGAATGGGCAGGCAACTTAGGAGGCGCCTTTGAATTCCACACGATAGAGTCCGTGATCACAGGCCACTCCAATTTTGTTGATTCGGCGGCATCGTTGCATAACGATGGCTTACAGGACAAAATAAAAAATATCTGTGGGAATCGATTGGTCCTGACGTTCACAGGCCACTCCCGTGGCGGCGCTATCGCGTCCGTGCTTGCGGCCCTCTATTACGAAAGGGATTACGCTGAGTACATCCGATTGGTGACCTGGGGATCCCCGCGCGTTCTGAGCGAGAAAACTGCTAACCGGTACCACTTGGAGTCGCCAGAGTTTTATCAGATTCGAGTCGTGAATGGCGGTGATCCAGTACCGGCAGCGCCTGGAATGTCGATGGGCTTTAGACACTTCGGTACAGCTGTGTGTTTGGATTGTGATGATACTAGTCAGGACGGTGGTGGCTGGGCAAATTTGATATTATATCAGCGTCACGGATTCGCAGAGTATAACACGAAGATTTCTAAAATGTAAACAATCGTCGACGTTTTTGTGATACCCTTAATTGTGCTGCTTGGCCACGATGGGACTAGTCAAATCGGCTGGGCTTCAGCTGTTTCGATGTTGTCGAATCAAATCATTATTATCGTGGGATCGGCCAGGCCATCTCTAACAAAATTCCGCCTACTACTGTTGATGCCAACGTCCTGAACCTAGCTTTATTCAATCCACTGGACTTCCGAGATGAAATTAAATTCGATCTTTCAAGACACAATTCTATACCAATAATTGTCTACAAAATCTCAAACTCAAAAAACAGTCTACGCTCGCGTGATGAAATACCACTTTGCCGTAGCTACGTATGGCCGATTATTACATCACGTTAGACCTGTGACTCTACACGCCCCCAAGCCTTAGGTCCAATAGACTTTTGGCTTCTTTATTTTGTTGCTCGAATCTTATTCTCGTTCTAATACATAACGTTGAAGCACGTCGATCTCGGAATCAACACGTTCACTGTTCTCGTGTGCCTGCAAATCAAAATCTTTCGTAATATATATATATATATATATATATATATATATACATATATATCTATCTATGCATATATATATGTATGTATGTGTTTATATTTTGATATATATACGTATATGTAGATTTAGATATCGATATATATGTATGAGAATGTACATGTACATATATATATATATATATATATAATTTCAATTTGTACTTATAGATTTAGAAATAGATTTATATATATATACATATATATTAATGTATATATATATATACATACACTTATACATATATATGTATATATATGTATATACATATATATACATTCATAAATATATATATATATATATATATATATATAGATGGACATACACATACATTTACATATAGGTATATATCAATATTCACGTATACATATATATACATCCATATATATATATATATATATATATATATATATAAATATATAAATATATATATATATATATATATATATATATATATATATATACATATATATATATATATATATATTATACATATATTTATATATATATACATATACATATATGTACATATATATATATATTCATATATATATATATGAACACACACACACACATATATATATATATATAAAC